CGTCGTCCAGCATAGCAAGCTGCGTTCGTTTCAGAGTGGGGGAGGGGTCTGAGTACGAAATAAAGATATTGCCTCCATGGTCATAGCCAGCCTGAGATTGAACGGGGGGGGGGGGGGGGGGGGGGCTGGGTGAACTATTAGGGACCATTAGCAAGCCGTGAAATGTCAACGGGAACGAGTTCATCGTAACGCACGTGAAACACGGCGCGGTTGAGGATTAGCTTCTCGCGTTCACAACCCGTCTACGCTAGTCGGCTGCTTTCCAGTTTCAAACAGTTTTCTGGTATTTTTACTGGCAATTATTTTTGCGAACTTTTCCTTGAGAACAATTCTCAGCCTGACTGACTTTTACCCGAATGAAAGTGAAAGAAACCCCATGACAGCCACATCTCCGATGGATGGGTGCAGCAAAGGGTTGTGTTCACGAGGTCCATGCCAAAACATAAATGAACGAGCAAGCTGAAGTTTGTCTTGAACAAGCATAACTTTTGGCACTGTGGTTACCCTCGATCCTGTTCTTTGTCATGTTATTAACGGTTATGCCAAAATCAATGGTCCTACTGGTTGTTTGGTACGTTTCGCCATCGTATTTATTCCAACAAGAATGGGTGAGACATTTTTCGAAATTTGAAGAAAATCGCAAAGACCAAACGAGGCGCGATTTACGGTGCTATTCTCCGTATCATGGTTGAATTCGCACGTACTTGACTAAAACCCACTTGTTGCGGTCCTGACGAGTAGACCCCTCCGAACTTGTCAAACACAAGTATGTTTTGCGTGCTCAGGACGGGACTCTAACCCAGCTCCCCCTTCGCGTTGCAGTTTCACGGGTTGCTAATGGTCCCTATCACATGGCATTGGTGGGTTTACGGGGGGGGGGGGGCACGCTCCCACCCCCCTCAAAAAATTTCGACCTGGGTTTGAAAAAACACCAGGCTGCTACATGCACCATGTGCACAGGCGGTAGACTCGACGCGGTGGGAAGCAGCGTCCAAAACTGGTTGCACGGACCGTCGGTGTGTGAGCGGCATTGATTGCACTGTGAAAGAAATGATCGAATCTGTACGAGCTCTATACTTTTGTACAGATTCCAGGACACGCTCGATGCGTCTTGAGAAAGGCGTGCAGTGATGTGCTGAACGCAGCTCTGCCCAAGTGGGACAAAAACAAAGCTTGTGATCGTCAAGCGCCTCTTTTCGCAACGTTGTACAACGATGTTTTGAGGATGATCCCCTCCAGATTCGAATCGCGAATTGGTTGACTTGAAGACTTTTCTGCGAAGTCTCAGCGACATCCATGGACCAAAGGAGACAAGCTCTGGCCAACAGAGCCTTGATGAATTTTGGAAAGCGTTCTTGCAACGGCGCAATTCCTGTTCCAACAGGAAACAGTGGGAGTGATCAAGTGGTTGCCAGTCCAGTTCGGAGCGGGCTGACATTCCGCCCGACGCGGAGGTGCCAGTACAGGATGGTCATCATACATACTAGTCAGACTGTCGGAATCGTTGTTTTCTGTGTTCGAGCATTGGTGCCACCCCTCCTGCGCAATGTCTACTTGTTACTGAAGCCGCGGTGGTTTCGGACTTCGTTGGAGCTCTCTTCCGCACCAAGCAAATTCATCGCGCTCCGCACTCTTCCGCCCCAGAGCGCATATCGTTATTCTGCAGTTCGTGCCGTCCCATATCATTCGCGTGGCTATTAATCAAGACTGCAAGCTCGGGTATAAGAATCCTGGTATCTCTCCTGGATACGAAATGCTGAAGTTGACGATGGCAAGAACAAAGTGTTCTCAAATTCCTAAAATGCGCTACTTATGGCGCATGTTGCTACGAAGGTAGCAGGTCTGAAAACATCAACAAAATTAGCGAAGCCATTGCCAGGGAAAGAAGTTGCGGAACTACTTACCCTATCCCGCTGGATGGTCGTTACAGTGCACTTGAAAAATGCTAGCTTGCCTTCATCGCCTGCCACCTGGAGGCATGGATCGCTTGAAAACGAAGTTTCTTTACCTGAATTTGAACGCGCATCTTGTTCAGCACATTGTTGAGTGCTGAAGGGCCTGCCCCAAACTCTGATGAAGACGTCGACCTTACCTGCAAGTGCAGCGAAGCGGGAGGCCACAAACTAAAGCTTGATCCGTCGACAATTCTCTGCCTCAATTTCTAGCTGATTTCTTTGCCCTTCGAGTAGACAAAATAAATTCGAAAAATCGTTCTGGGAAGCGGCAATTTTAAGTAAGAATATATGTTCACTTGAAACCCATGATATGATTATGAAAATATGAGAGTTCATTCTTGTAAGTAGTATATTCTTTTACACGACCACGCTATAACCGATACGCACTGTAGTAACTGAGCATGAGATACTTTAATCTGTATAGTGTAGGTCTGGAAGAAATACCTGGCATGTAATCATTTTGTAATGTTGGATAGCTAGGTGCGTGACATACATCATTACAGTCATGTGCACCATGTCATCTCCCCCGGCCGTGACCCCCCTTAGCCAAATCCTGGACACGCCACTGCATGGTTGTGGATATATGGTGGGGGATGAATGCAGCAATTGACCTAAACTATATCCTATTCTGTGCACCAAGCTCTAAATTTGGTGCCAGCTGGGTTTGTAGGGTACCACTGCATTTGATCAACCAGATGCCAAGTGCATTTGATAATTGGGACGATTTGCAAGCCGCGAAACGGCAAGACGAATGAGGAAACTGTGTTAGAATCCCATCCTGTCCACGCGAAGCACACTGGTGTTTGATGAGTTCGGAGGGGTCTACTCGTCATGACCACAACGAGTGTTTTTTTATTTTATTATTCCAGTGCGTGCGATTTCAACAAGGATACGGAGAATGCACAGTAAACTGCACCTCTTTTTGTGACTTTTCTCAAATTTCCAAATGTTTCATGCACTCCTGTTGGAATAAAGTATGATGGTGAATATACGGTGTACGAAGGCAAGGCACTTTCTCACTAGACAAGTGACGTTTGCTAATACTTGGTCCGCAAGTCACAATTGGCGCTTATCTTCGCACTTGATTTTTCGGTGTTCTGGCTGTGTCATACCGCATGGAACCACCGATTCACCATCCGAACATAACCATAGACCATTGCATCCGACAACATGGCAGCACAAACCACCACAAAAGTTGTGATCGGTTCGTTTGAATTTTTTGACTGGAGCTGCCACCGACGAACACTTCCGTCACCGCAATAAAAAGGCTGCAACCTCCGCTCCAGTCCGTAAAACAGGTCAGGATGTTCACACTTCAAAGCGATGGCGAATATAGTTTCTGCCTGCTTCCAGCTGTCTGGTGGCAAGGATGGTTTTTCGCGGGGAGGTATAGAAAAGCTGAAAAAGCGCATCGCTAGCTTGAATTTGAGTACTCGCACTGTACAGCGTCTAGTGAAGAGTTATCACCAGCAAATCACCGACGAAGAAACTACAGATCATATCGACATCTCCAGAATGCGAGACTAATCCGGCGGACACACTCTGAAGCTCACAGACGACCTGGAAAAGGAGCTGATCAAAATAGACACCAACTCCTGAAGGAAACTCTCGTGCAAACGACTTGCAGGGATCTCGCAGAAAAGAGCTACGCCTGCTTCAGAGTCAGTGCGACACTGGTGCAAGACGTTAGGTGCAGTACGCACAGGTGCTACATCAAGCAGAAGCTATCACTGCAGTACAAGCACCAGCAGCTTGCGTGGGTGCTGATCAGTAAGTACGACAAGCGCAAGAGGCGATATGAAAAACTGACAGTGATGTGGTGTTGCCTTTTTGCCTCAAACAAAGGCATTATTGAGACGAACGGGGATAACACTTACAGCCACCACACGGGTACTCTCACTTAGCTTCTGAGCGGCAAGTAGACAGGCACGACAGGTGACTGGCTTTGAGCGTGAAGTGGAACAAGCTATGAAACGTTCAGCATATGTCTGGATTGAATGTTTTGAGCTCATCCTCCAGCGACGATAGTGGCGAGGAGGACGTGTAACTTGCTGGTATTTTCGGCTGAGTTGCTTTCTGACATGTAAAGTATCATATACATAGCGTTTTCTGATCGTGGCATGCTTCGAATATTTGTATTTTCGTTTTGCGACAAGAGTGAAGATAAGTGCCAATTTTAACTTGGCGGTTCAAGTAGGCCATTCACACGACGTGCAAACTCAAATTTATCGTACCGTTTCCAAAGATATTTACTCGCATACGATAAACTTGGACACATGCTTGTGTAGCGGGCCGCAGTCTCTCTCGGAGGCAAATGCACACGGGTCTCAGTGAACACACTGTTGTTAACTTGATTATTACTAAATACTGGATCGAAGGTTGAACTCTGACTCTAAACTGACAATGAAATTAACTGGCTACTTAATTAAAAAACTGGCAACTAAATTAACTGACTGGCAACTAAATTAACTGACTGGCAATGAAATTAACTGGCAACTAAATTAATCGTGAGCAGCAGCTTTTATGCACAAGCAAACTCCGTACACTAATGTACGGGGATACGCTAATGTACGGAGATATAGTAACGTACGGGAATATGCTGACATACGGGGATACAGTAACGTACGGGAATATGCTATACGCTAAACACTATACGCTGTACGCTGTGCAGTCACCAGCGTGCCAACGCTACACCTCCCTCTCAAATACAATCACGTCCTCGTGATTCGAATACTAGGTGATTGCCGGACACCAACAACTGGCTGCTATTTAGAAGAAACGGGCGGCATGCATGGTCGCGTCGGAATATACTCGACGATAGGAGATAGGCAGAATGGATGTCTTGCATAATAATAATACAGGTATGTAGTCGTGAACATTATAGTTGATCGCGAATTGCTGGGAGAGCGTCAACCGGAATATGACAAATAATATCGGAAATAATAACGTTTGGAATAGACAGAAAAATGAACTGATAAACAAATCATAAAGTAGAAGCACACCAGGTTCACACGATCTCACGGGGTCAAAAGGGGAAAGAACTGTCCTCCAAATAGGACCTGCAGCACGCTTGCTGCACAACACTGGCACAACCTGCCAGGAACATCGTAGTTCAAAAACCGAACTGAATACACTATAAGGGGCATTGTCACACACATTGTCCCAGGTTAGCTGGGTAAACCGTGGCTCACCATGATCAGACGCCTACCAAACTAAACTGGATTCACACAATCGCATAAAGGAAGACTGAAGAGAATAGGAAGACTGAAGGAAGACAGGAAAGAAAATGCCATATCGGGAATGAGCGTTAGTAACCACGGCGGCGGCTGGAGCTACGGCGGAGGGCGAGCCAGGTTTTATCTTCATCTTGGCTGAGCCGGTCACTCAGAGCGGCTAGCTCGGCGTCACACAGATCACCCCCTCCTCGTCTTGAATCGTGGTCTTCACATTGTCGGCGCGACGTAAAGAGTGACGGTCTAGCCAGGAAGAGTGTTGACGAAATTCTGCATTCCACCACGGAGACGAAGTACCAAGTGAATGGTGGACTCCTGCTGAACGTTGTAGTCACTCAGGGTTCGGCCGTCTGCCAACTGCGTGCCGGCGAAAATCAAACGCTGCTGGTCTTGGGGAATACCCTCCTTGTCTTGGTCAGCAGCCTGCCTGTCGTCGTCCTCATCAGCTTCGCCATCACCACCGAAAGTATACATGTAGGTAGCGGGTCGCTTGGAATCGCCATCGGAGTCTCCAGTGTGTGCTGTGCGGACAGAAGGGTGATCCACGCTAGCACCGTGACTGTGCTGCAGGCTAATAAGCAGGACCAGGCCCAGGAAGGCAAGAAAAATGATTCTCATCTTGATTCGTCGCACGGAGCTGCAGCGGGTTGAGCCATGGGGGTCTGAGAAACCTGTAAAGTAACAAAGTTAGGTATAGAAGGAAACAAAATGAATTTACCGCTGCCACCAATTATGTAGCACCATTGCTACCAATGTAAAACAGGTGGGGTCGAATCTGACAAAGTTGACTTTAACCACCGCTGCCACCAATTATGTAGCGGGCCGCAGTCTCTCTCGGAGGCAAATGCACACGGGTCTCAGTGAACACACTGTTGTTAACATTATTATTACTAAAGACTGGATCGAAGGTTGAACTCTAACTCTAAACTGACAATGAAATTAACTGGCTACTTAATTAACTGACTGGCAACTAAATTAACTGACTGGCAATGAAATTAACTGGCAACTAAATTAATCGTGAGCAGCGGCTTTTATGCACAAGCAAACTCCGTACACTAATGTACGGGGATACGCTAATGTACGGAGATATAGTAACGTACGGGAATATGCTACTGTTAGTCCTGCGGCCCAAATCTGAAAGACGTTGTTTTGCAAGTCCCGTTTCAGTCTCAAGCAGACAACCTGAGCTTTGCATGGGTGGAAAGACCATGTTCTAGGGATGTCGAAACGGCTTGTTGTCATGTCCAGAACTAGGGCATAAGCTGGGGAGAACCAATTTTAGGTTTCGTTACGGAAGTCGTTATTTTACGTTATTTTACGACTCCTTGATCGAAATTGGCAACATGTCATACGATATTTTATTGAAAATTAGTGCAGTCGATGTGAATTTGTTCTTGTGTTTGGATGATTTGTAGATAATGGTTGCCCTTTGCCGAGCGTTCATTTCCTATTGATGGTGATTAGAGATGGCACAGATTGATTTGTTGTAAAATTTGACCAAAACACCCCCAAACATGGATCTTTCGTATGAGAGGATTTCATTTATTGGGACACTATCTCGACAACACCAGCGGAAGAGAGCTAGCACGAGCGAAGCAAAGGACACCGGAAAACGGCAGAGTGATAGCGATCATAAGCTGATCTTAGCAAACGAGCGATATGGAAGATGTTGTAAATAATAGCGCAGTAGTGTATTTGTCATTTGCTGCAGAGTGGAAAAGTACAATTCAAATTCAAATCAATTCAAAAACTTCAATAGTGCGGTCCACCAGCCTTAGCTTTCAGACTCACTGTCCGATTCACAGTCGGACTTACAGTCCAATCCACTGTCGAAACTGCCTTCACCCTCATCATGGCATTGTGTGCATGCGCGCGCGCGCGCGCACACACACACACGCGTACACACACCGCACAACACATGGCATTGTGCGCGCGCGCTCGCACACACACATACACAAACCCCACACGCACGCACACACACCGCACAACACATGGCATTGTGTGTGCGCGTCCGCGCGCGCGCACACACTCACACACCACATAGCACGCTAGAGATCAGCAAGAACCTGCTGCGGCCGTGGTTGAGATGGCGCTGTAGAAGACACCGCAGCCGCCACGGGTTACCTCGCACCCGAGGTTGTAGTCAAAGCCGTACTAGCCGACACATCTGTACTGGAGGCTGATGTAGTACCCAAAGATGAAACTGATCCACTGGTGTTCACCTGACGCGGCGGAGTAGCGGATCCTTTGAAGCCGAAATGAGTGGGCAACACGACATAGGCGGGGACAAGCCCAGCGGATATCGCAGCGGGCCTATCGTAACTCCTGGAAGTGAGCCTATCGCAATTCCTGGCAGTGGGCCCGTCGTAACTCCTGGCATTGGGCCCGTTCTCTTGCCGGCCACTGGGGTGCGGAGTGAACGTGGATGCGGGCAGGAAATCTGCGGCGACCGGCTGGACTGGGATGGTTGGGGTCGGGCCAGGTGCGTTACTAGTATGACTGTTCGGCAATGACTGGGTATTACCGGCCATCGGACCGTTTCCAGACGACACAGACAAGTGGTTGCTCCGTGAAGAGTGCGCCTGTATACCCATGCCACTTACCATACATGTCAATTGCTGAAGGAAACACACAGTTCAAACACAAAACGTAAATGAAACACGCCAATGAAATTCGATCCTTAAACAAGTCAAGTTCGCATGTCCGCGTTATCACGGGCTATACAATTGTGTTTAGAAAACAACCAGTTTATAATTCTGTCTCTTCTTGCATAAAGTCAGCCTAGAATACTGACGTCAGCTTTGGACATTACTCTGACTCGGACCACAAGTCCTGATTTATTCTGACCTACATGTGTATCGTGTGAAGTAGCGCGAGAGCCAAGCTGGTCATAATAATACGTGTAACAGCCACGAACGTAATTCAACCAAAGAAGACTACCACATTACATGAGCATGAACACTTGCATTCCATTTAATACATTCCTATGTTGTAGATGTCAGGCACTGTAGTGTTCACGTCTACATACACTTTGTGGCATTCCTTGGCCACCCAGACATTCATGATAGTAGCGCATCGTGAAATGAACTTAGCGGCTTGTAGTTGCTGTGCATGAGTCTGGACTCATGATCTGGTGTGTACATGCGATCATGTGATCTTGTAGTTGAGCGTATGTGTTATTTGGATTCCCTTGGTCATGACCAAACAATAAAACATGATCAAATTATTTCTACACATTCAACAATGCCAAGAACTCACCTGGTCCCCAAGTAGCTCATTATCTTCTTTTTCAGCATGAAAGTTGGATACTAAGGCGGAGTGTGATGGTCGGCCAAGCTGGTGCTGTTTGCAGTTATTGTACTTATCCGTGAGAAGCTTCATGGGCAAGGCCCTTGCAGACTTCAACTCGGACTGTATATACAGCACCAGGCTGTCAAATGTTTCGTAGGCCGACGGCTGGTCACTCCCTTTGCCACTTCGTTGCCGGTGCATAGTGGCCAGGTGGGTGAAGGCACTGTAGCATGCTCCGACGTTGATAGTGGATTTCCGCTGCAACGCAATCTGGGCCATTCTGGAGCGAAAGCCAAAATTCTTGCGTTGTTCTCCAACTCTGCTAAATGCACAAGTCTGCAGATGTGGATTCAATCATTGTACATCTCTCCTTGTTCTACGCTTTGCTGGTACATGGTGTCCCATCATCACATACATGTATCTCCTCCAATTCAGAATGGCTTGAAAAGTCATGGCCACGTCCAAGTGGCAGCCGACCCAGCAACGTTTTGTTAGTGTATGTACTGTAGCACTTGCGGTGGTACCATCCGCGGACGCTCTCCTCGGTGCAGTGGCTCTCGCACAAGAAGGTATAGCTCGTCCTGCCTGCATTTAGCAGCTTCAAACAAAGTTTCCCAACTCTGCAAAGTAAATCGGGTTTGCTTTTCCTGCGATGCATTGAACGCAATGGCACAAGCAAAATTCCCGCGATACAACGCCATTCCCAGGACGAGGCCTAAGAAGCTCCACGGCCTCTTCCTCCATCATGTCAAAAGGTGTCTACCATGCTGTGAGCGGTGGGCAGGAGGCACTCAAACAGCGCGAAACGCAACTACTATGCAACTACCAAACGAAAAATGCAATTCTACATTTCAAAGAGTATCCTGTCGGTGTCGTCGTCATCTTCAAAAATTTGAAAAAGGCGCTCCTTTCCGTGAACTGTGCACCCCCAGATGGTGCGCAGTATCGCCGACGAGAGCGGAGAAATTGGCTTCTCCTGAGCTTCTGCCCTAACTCTGAAGATGACAACAAGCGGAATCCAGGTCAGGTATACATACTTTAGGCCGTAGTGAAGAACCCAGGTTGTCTGCTTGAGACTGAAACGGAATTTTTTTTTGAAGTTTGGGCCGCTGGACTATGTATTTCCTCGATTAATAGACCCGGTCTTTTGTTTTTTGGGCATGGTCCATTATTTGAGCACGGTCCACTATATTTTCATCGGCACATCGCTGGAAATGACGTGTTAAAAATCCACCATTTCCAGCGATGTGCCGATGAAAATATAGTGGACCGTGCTCAAATAATGAAAGAAAGCACTAGCCACTACAAATATAATTGTAGTTGCGCAACCTAAAATCGCGTCCTTTTTTGATCCACCACGTGCTTTCTTAGTGCGCATGCGCAAAGTGATGAACTCAAATAAGAGACCGGGTCTCTTATTCGGGCATGGTCTACTAATTTTCCGTGAGGCCTCTAGGAGGGCCTACTATTTGAGCATGGTCTATTATTCGAGGAAATACGGTATACGCTAAACACTATACGCTGTACGCTGTGAAGTCACCAGCGTGCCAACGCTACACTTGCAACTGATTTTTGAACTTGGCCGGGGCCCTTGTGTTCACGATTATACTTTGCACACGAGCAAAAGTGCCGGTGTTGAAAGTGCGCGCTGCAAATATAGTGTGTGGGATATTTTTCAAACAGGAATTTCAAAATTTAAAATTTCCCCTCATTTTCAGAAGGTAACTATGGATACATTGACATGTGCAAAGTTTGCCCAGCACCGTGTGGACTGGATCGCGGTTTGCAAGTCATATCTTGGTCACACGCGTACATGTGTTTGCATGTCGTGTGAATGGCCTATAAGTGCTTTGTTGAAAAGGCTATCTTAGCGGCTGCAGGCATGGACTGGACGTGGATGTGACCTGCGCCTCACGGTCTCTCACGTGATTAGTCATGTGGTATGTGTCATTACACACACACACACACACACACGTACACACACGCACGTACACGCACACACACGCACACACACACACACACGTACGTCCACACACGCACGTACACATACGCACACACAGTGACACACACACACACACACACACCTTTGGACCTTTTGACGCTCATCGCCGGAGGCGATGATAGCGATGCTACAGCAGAAGCCACAGCAGTTTGTGCTGGGATTGCACCATTCAACAGCTTGCAATGCTGAAGAATTCACCGCCACTATTCAGCCTGGTCTACACCACACAGCTATGAAGTTGCTTTTTTGGCCAGTGAATCCCTACTTTTTGGCCTTTTTTCCCCGCACACACATCACACCACGTACATCCGGCATGCACTGGCTGTTTGTAACCACCCAGGAGAATGAAAGAAAAGTCAGGAGGAGTCTGAGAAAGAGAAGAAAAGCGCATGTGACCATAATCGTCGGGAATCGAACCCGCAGGCAATCGATTGGAAATCGCTGCACATACCACTGCACCATATGGGCCGCACATACCACTGCACCATATGGGCCACACATACGCACCCACACACTCACACACACACGCACACACACACACACACACACACACACACACACACACACACACACACACACACACTATGTATTATGTACAAACATACACACATAATGCACACATACACGCACGAGTGCTGGTTGGTGAGCGAGCGGACCTGAAATAGAAGTCTGTGAACCCTGCTTATGCCAATCGTCTACTGCGCCTAGCATGGCATGGGGAATAAAAGTAAACTGATCGACTCATTTCTGGTGTTCTGTGTGCTTGTGCTGTGCTTGTGCTTGTGCTGTGCTTGTGCTGTGCTTGTGCTTGTGCTTGTGCTTGTGCTTGTGCTGTGCTTGTGCTTGTGCTTGTGCTTGTGCTTGTGCTGTGCTTGTGCTTGTGCTTGTGCTCAGATGCAACTAAAGGAGAAAGAGGAGCTTCGAACTGGTGGGTGCCAAACTGTCTGCTAGATGTTAGAATTTCTTTGCTCAGTCGTCCCTTTCTAATCTGGCACCTTTTGCAACGTCATTTTCTGCTGGATAAACAAGGGTGTTGGATTATCAAATCCTGCCCTCCAACCCGGCCCACCTCCTAACTTACATGTTTGTGTCGTACATGTACGTCAAAACGCAGGGATTTTCTGTGTCAATCCAAGTACTTTGTGGAATGCATGTCTATAACATACACTTGGGAATATCCTATGCACTGGCATAGAATATTCCCAAGTGTATAGAGAGGCTCTGCACAACGAAAATTCGAACGAAGTTTCGCGACAGGCCTTGCGAAAATGTGTACGAATTTTCGCACGAACTTTGTGTTCTGCACATTTTCGTAGTTTGCACGCGCCAAGTGCACGTACGCCATGACCCAATCTCACGAAATTTCCTACGAAAGTTCATGTCGCGTTCCCTGCAAGTTTCGCGTCCAAAGTTGCGAAAGTTCGTGTGAAGTTTCTCACTTCGTGACGTAGAGCGAAAGTTCGTACACATTTTCGTTTTGCAGAACCTCTCATATGTTACATGTGTTGTGTATGTTACAATGCTCCCTGACAGTATGCGATGTACAACTGCTGGATTAGAAAATCGAATTATGTACAGTTTGAGTGATTTGTTGCAGAAAATCGCTGCTGGAGGCGGAATTCAAGTGCCGGATTAAAGCGTAGAAAATGGACTTAAAAAATTCGTTTTGCCAGAAAGTGTGCTGGTTTGCAAGGGTGCTGGATAAACAAGTGCCGGATTAGAGAGGGACGACTGTAGTAATAATTTTTGGTTGTGACAGTCTTCAGGTACATATACTAGGTAACTTGAAGCTGAGGATAAGATGGTTTAGTGAGTTGTGAGAGACACTCTGAGTATATGGTCTAGGTGACAGGGCAATCCGCTGTGTTTAGTCACTGTATTACCAGTCAGCTGTACCTGATTGGAAAGCAGTGTTTAATACATCACTGCATTACCAGTATGGCCGACTATCTTATCTGCTAGTGCATGGTATTGATGGAGTTAAACAACAGCATGGCCAACTTGACTGGGTAGTTCATGGTGTTGGATGAATTCTTCACTGAGACAAGCCCATGAGAATTCTTGCTCTATTATGCTTGTGACTAGATATGAGAGGACAACAAAGAGAGGGAGACAGAGGGGAAGAGAGACAGACAGACAGACAGACAGACAGACAGACAGACAGACAGACAGACAGACAGACAGACAGACAGACAGACAGAAGGGGGTGGGGGTGGGGTAAAGGGCGACAGTAGAAGGGAGATCAGTAAGGGTGCATTCATCATACTACAGCAAAACAGAAAAGTTTTACTGACGGTTTTAGCTTGTGACAAGTCTCATGTTGCATTCACATACGTCAGTAACTGATCTCCAGAAACCAGAGAGTAGCACAAACACGACTCCTAGAGCTGATAATTATTAATAAATTTTATTATTCAAAGGATCAGTCGGGGAAGTGAACTGCCTGAAAAGAGAAAAAAACGCCAGACCCACCAGGACCTGGTGGGTCTGGCGTTTTTTTTCTCTTTTCAGGCAGTTCACTTCCCCGACTGATCCTTTGAATTTGAAGTTCTTCCAATCCTTTCCAAATTTTATTATGATAATTATTATGATGGAAACTACTACAGCCAGGCATTTGTCTACACGTGCATCTGTTTCTGGCGCACTTTTCACGATGTGTGTCCCCATTTGTCTATTCATAATAAATGATTTTGGATACAATGATCGGAATGTGTGCCTTTCCTCCGGAGCGTAACCATTTTGGTGGCGACAGTAGACACCCTTAGCAAAAAACTTTGTTGTAACGGTATTACCGTAAGGGGAAAATACCGTGATTTGGGTTAGACCTTTAGCAAGATGCACGCTATTTTTAGTACGCTGTTGCCACGAGAAAAGCTTTTATTTCGCGCGGTTCAACCATCTATGTCACCATATACGTGATACAAGGTGAAATGCGTATAGACTATGCAATATTAGGCCAAAAAAACGTACCGTTTGTCACAACAATAAATCAGCCCCCATAACATTTTTACGCGGCAGCTTCAACGCTATTTGGGTGATCAAGGTATGAGTACCGTAAAAGACAGCATTACCGTCACCTCCCGCCAGCCCTCGTCTTTTCCTTTTGAATTCTATTTTTCTGCCACCAGGGCATACTTTTTTACTTTTCCGACGCCTTCAGCGTGGATCCGCTTGAGCGGAGCCACATTCGCTCGTACACCCTCATAAGATGGTTCTAAATTTCGGAGGTGAAAATAACGGTAGGCATTCTCGAGCACTACCGGCTACAGGCGTCTCAAGTCAAGGTTGACAAAAGCTCAGAGGTGAAGGACACTTGAAGCTCAAATTACAATGTTGAGTAGTTGAAACTTGAAAGTCAGCGGCGCAGTGCAGGAAGTAGTGTTTTTACTACTCACTGGTGTAGTGTTTTGTACACGTCGTCGTGGCACTGGTGCTGTTCTTACTGGTATATTTCCCACAGTAAAAGGTTTCTGAGCCCCCCAAAAAGGGGTCGGGGAAAATTCTACTGCTATTACTGCCGGGAACATCACGTGAGCGCGAGTTTCGAAAACTGTCATGACGACTTTCCCTATACTGCTGCTCTATCCCGTGATATGAATGCGGCCTAAGGGGGAGGGGGAGGGGGCTCTTAACAGCTTTTGGTCGTTAGGTTCTTTTGTGATTGGAAAATTTGTTGTGCTTGATGCATGCTGCCATTTTCATTCACAACATAATTATAACAGTGAGTGTTGCTGCTGTGGCTGCTGCTGCTGCTGTTGCTGCTGTTACTGCTGCTGCTGCCGCTGCTGCTGCTGCTACTGCTGCTGTTACTGCTGCTGGTGTGGCTACTGGTGTGGTTGCTGATGTGACTGCCGCTGCATTATTGTTGTTTATTGCGATGCAGCTGCCGTGGCTGAGGACATCATTGGTGGCAAGGACGAGGCCAGCGTGGTACGCGTGCGTATGTACCTTGTCGGCAAGTACGCCACAGGAAAGTCCAGCTTTGTCCGGTCACTGCTCGGTGAAGAGTTCATTGAAAACGCGGACAGCACCGACTCCATTTCCATCCATCGATCCAGACTCAGAATGCATCTCTCCTCTTCAACCGCCACAGGCACACACGCAGCGGCACAAGTTCTTGTGGACGACAGTCAACATAGTTTCTTTGCCAATCTTCTCACAGCTCGTATCCGATCATCTCTAGATCTGGTCAAGAAAATCAAGGAGGCTCCAGAGATACCACAACCATCTGCATGGTTCAAGCTCAAGAAACTCGCCACGTCCCTACTTCCAAGTACTGCTTCGTCTACTTTCCCTACTGCCTCCGCTACCGGCACCGGAGCATCTGCTGCATACTCTATCAACAATGAGTTTGCCAATGTTCCCCACGCTGATGAACTGATCAAAGTAGCACCAGATGTTATCTCTCAAGTTCGCTCGTCTGTCGGCAATGTGGATAACAGTTCAAATGAAGTGGAAGCAGCATATGCGTTTGTTGAGCTGTGGGACATGGGTGGACAGATGCCGATGTTGGTACAACAAAGCATCTCGTTTTCAGTTTGTGACAGCGTGTACATTGTGACTCTTGACATGAGGTGTGACCTGGATGAGGAGGTAACGGAAGACGTCTACCGCTTTGATGGTCAGGAAGTTGTAACTTGCACACCGTTGCCAGGAATGACGCAGGCTGACTACCTTCACATGTGTCTGTCACTGATTGCTTTGCAGCATAGGGCAGACACACACACTGACCAGCAGCAACAGCAGCAGCAGCAGCAGCAACCAGACACAGAGACGGGTAAGAACAGTAGCAGCAATGGCAGCCACCATCATGATGAGAGTAGCACAGCCGTCATGGTTGTTGTTACACATGTGGATCTTGTCGACGACAACCAGATGGAGAAGAAGAAGAAGCTGTTCTTCAATGCCGTGTCCAAGCTGGCTGAAAGGGCCGGACCCAAAGTCAAGATCTGTGGACCCTTCTTTGTTGACAATCACCGTCTTCAAGATCGAGTATCGCGCCACAGCCAGCTCGCAGAAGCACAGCAAGAGCTCTCTAGAATTGTGTCTGCCTTTCCCGTCCAAGCAATTCCCTTGATGCAAGTGAAGATAGAAGAAGCTATTTCTCTCCACCAGAAGCAAATGCTGCGCTCTGCAAAGGCAGGGTGCAGTGATAAGCAGCAGCAGAGTTTTGTCAGCATGGTCTACCCCCAGTTTGTAGACTTTTGTCGGCATGTTAGCGGCAAAGATCTCTCGCGGACACAAGTGTCGGATCTACTGCATGACCTTCAGCAACATGGAACAGTATTCTGCTGTGACTGCCCGCATCCAGACACTTTAAGTGTCATCTTCCTGGAACCTCAGCAGCTGCTACTCAGCTTTGTACGCTTGATGACCTTCCCTCTAAAGGAGACAGCTTTTCCAAGCACCTCGGCAACATTAGTCAAAGATGTGAAACACTTTCGCTGCACGGGAATTGCCAGCGCTAGCCTAATAGAGAGAGTTTGGTATCCACTAAGCCATGTTGTTCAGCTAGCCCTCTGCAAATCCATGTGTTACTTCAATCTGGCAGCAGAGCTTGAGCCCACCAGCAGCACAGCCACCAGCAGCACAGCCACCAGCAGCACAGCCACCAGCAGCACAGCCACCAGCAGCACAGCCACCAGCAGCACAGCCACCAGCAGCACAGCCACCAGCAGCACAGCCACCAGCAGCACAGCCACCAGCAGTACAGCCACCAGCAGTACAGCCACCAGCAGTACAGCCACCAGCAGCACAGCCACCAGCAGCACAGCCACCAGCAGCACAGCCACCAACAGTACAGCCACCAGCAGCACAGCCACCAGCAGTTCAGCCACCAGCAGTACAGCCACCAGCAGTACAGCCACCAGCAGTACAGATACCAGCACTGGAGCGTGTGGCAGTGGAGTCGGCAGCATTAGCAGCAGCAGCAAGAACAGGAGCAGACAAGGCAGATCTCTGGTTGTCACGCCAGGCCTACCCGACCTCTTCATCCCGTTCTGTTGCAACCAGGAAGCATTACGGTTGGTTTTGGAGGATGATGTTCCCTTTAAGCTACCGTTTAACCACCTCAGTTTCCCTGGGATGCTGTTTCCTCCACCACTGTTCGGTCGCTTAGTCACCTACGTTATTCATCGTATGAAGAAAGAGTCAGCCAGTCTTCAGTTCACATCCAGTGCGGCATCACTGAATTTGGAGGTTGGTTGTAGTCAAGTATGCCTTTGCTGGACACCAACAGGTGTTCGCTTAGAATGCGCTGCTGATACACCATCCATCCTTGCTGATGTGGCTTGGCATATGAAGAGTGCAATTGTTGGCTTCACACAAGTTCTCAGCAGCCAAGGATACCAGCAGTTTGCAGTTGTTGCTGAGTCTTTCGCCTGCACTTCCACATCATGCCAGGATCGCCTGAAGGAGTGCAGCAGCCCTGCAGAAGTGCTGGTGCACTCGTCCTGGGTGTTGCTGACCAGCTTGCACAAGAAGCATTTCTTGACAGCGTACGAGTCGGATAGCAACACCGCTCTGACCTTCAAGGCTACGTGTGCTACCTGCAAGGAGAGGGTCATTGTCCCGAGGTCCTTCTGGCCCTGGCTGCGCAAGGATGTGCCATTTGTCCAAGCTGAGGTGAGTTGTGAACATTTCTTCCACTGTCTTGTATGGTTTCATCATACACTTGAAATGTCAAGATGGTAAAATAGATACTTTTGCTTCTATATATCCACACCATCATGTGACAGGGATCATGTGACTGTGACCATGTGACAGTGATCATGTGACTGTGATCATGTGACTGATGAAGTGACAGTGTGTCTTTTGTAGTTTTCATTATCTTTCCGGGAGGAGTATCTTCTTTACAGTAATACTCGATAGAATTCTACTTCATCAAAAGGCTAGCATAGGATTGCAATGCACTAGAAACACAGGGGAGTTATTATTATACGGTATACGTCTGTGGAATGGGCCTGACTGAACTTTTCTCTTGTCTGTGTTTCTTGCCTGCATATCTTTGGATTTCTAAAACGATTTCAGCAGCCACTAGCAGCACCAGCGGCACCAGCAGTGCCAGCAATAGCAGTGCAAGCAACAGCAGTGCCACCAGCAGTGCAAGCAACAGCAGTGCAAGCAACAGCAGTACAAGCAACAGCAGTGCAAGCAACAGCAGTGCAACCAACAGCAGTGCAACCAACAGCAGTGCAAGCAACAGCAGTGCAAGCAACAGCAGTGCCAGCAACAGCAGTGCAAGCAACAGTGCAAGAAACAGCAGTACGCGCAACAGCAGTACCCGCAACAGCAGTACAATCAACAGCAGTGCAAGCAACAGCAGTGCAAGAAACAGCAGTGCCAATGGCAGCAGTGCAAGAAACAGCAGTGCCAGCAACAGCAGTGCCAGCAACGGCACAGGCAACTGCAGTGCCACCAGCAGTACAAGCAACAGCAGCAGTATCATCATCAGCAGTAGCAGCTGCATTACCTCTGTCACCATCATCATCAGCAGCAGCAGCAGCAGCAGCTGTGTTAGCTCCCTCATCGTCATCATCATCATCAGCAGCAGCAGCATTAGCACCCGCAGAGGCAGTTTCATGCCAACGGTCAACATCACCGTAAGCACATAGACTTGCTGTAATTGAAATCATGTGTACATGGTACAGGTATTGCTTCACACCTGATCTCAATTCTACCTTTCATATGCTAATAGCAATGTTACTCAAAGTCCATACCACTATTTTTGTAATGTTACTTGCAGTAATGCTATGATAACGAGGTGCTCTCTTGCTTGTGTGTGTGTGTGTGTGTGTGTCTGTGTGTCTGTGTGTGTCTGTAATATCTGCTTTAGGGAGAAGCTTGCACCAGAAGATGGTTTAGCCAAGGTACTCCAACCGGAGCTGAACACTAACCAGCCATGTAAGTCACTTCAACACTACAGAATAATATTGATTTCTACAGATATCATATTATGCATAGTGGTATAATATTATGCATAGTGGTATAACCCTTTGTGGACGGACTGTACGAGTTTCGATCTAATAAGATCGAAAGTCTGCAGGCGGTAAAATCTTCGTAACTCCATCGTTTCTTGAGCAAATTCCACAATCGAAGGGTCTACGTGGTAGCGGAAACTCCAAGCTGTCCAATGCAACAATCGCCGAAGAGTTACGATGTCGGACGCCAGAGATATCGCACGCCGTATTCTTACCTCGGCAAAATCAAATTTTTGATCGATCATTTCGCCATTTTGGGGGAAAACCCCTTTTCGTGTGCTCTTTGAGCGACTAAGCACATGATAATGACGTAGCCGGCTGAAGTTTGAATCGTCTCAAACAGATTTGAGCGTTCTGCGATGAAGGAGAGTGGAATGGCGTTGATGGGACGAATTTGCTTGCATATCAGGCTTGGAGACGACTTTGCTGTGTTACCGCGCCTGATTTGTGGCGGCTGGATAATGGAGATTGGTACCCTGGCGTTGCTCTCGTCAAGAGCTTTCCAATGAGCCCTTGATTGTGAAAATCAAGTGAAGGACACCAAAGTTATGACATGGTAAAGTTGAAAATTGTACTGACATTTTGTAATTCTGGTGCGTACTGTGCTAGTAATCCGTCCATAAAGGGATAATATTATGCATAGTGGTATAATATTATGCATAGTGGTATAATATTATGTATAGTGGTATAATATCATGAAAATCGTGAACTATAACTGATGTCACCTTTCGCGTGAATTTAAGTTAGTCTGAGTTTTTCACAACTACAGGATTGCCACCACCCGCTATGACTAAGGCGCAGATGCAGCTCATAAAGCGGTGGAATTTGAATAGATCAGAACTAACAAAAAGAGGGAAACCTCATTTGCTGCATCAATGTTTCCCTTGTACCAAGCCACGAGTTGCCAATTTACTACTCGTATAGGACACAGCTGGAAAATCCATACGCTTCCAAGCAGGACTTAAACATGGTCGTGTGTATGAACCTACTTGGTCCGGCTCATCGCAATTGTCGCTTATCTCCCACGCACCTTTTGACAGGTAAAACCCAGTCCAATCACGATATCTAACTTGCTTTTGCTTGGGAGGTTGTGATGGCAAGATCAAAGGAGGCACCAAAGAAAAATGATCGCGACTAGCGCTTTGAATCGTGATGTGTTCAACTTTTTTGAGAAGTGGGAATCTGGCCATTCACTGTCTGTGTTGCCAAAAGCCAAGCGCAGCGAGCCGAAGACCGGAACTGTGGTAGGGGCAACTGACATCCTGGAGAGCGTGACAGGCATGCGTGCACGGCAGAGGAGTATGAGCCGCATGAGCGTCATGCTGAAGAAGAAAGGTGTTTTCGGTGCGATGCGCCCGGCGGACGGTTGTTGTTCCTTGCTTGGTGGACCTAGCAGCAGCATTACAAGAGTCGTGGTCAGCGTATCCAGCGGAGCATATGACGGCTGTCTGGAGAGGCCTGTAGTATGCCTCGAAGGTTTTTTTGAAACACACTGCGGCGACACACAGGTCACACTGCCCACGGTTCCTTCCTTCAAGCACTGAAGTGACAGCCACAACTGTTCCTTTCCCGTTGCTGCCATACAACAGCCTGAGAAAGCAAGAGATACTCCAGTCTACGCCAGCAGCTAGACATCAGCAAATGTCAGCTCATGTAACGCGCGGCAGCTCGAGTGATGCAGAGTTGAATGAACTCTGGACCTGTAAGAGTGTGAGTGCAAGAACGCGCTCCTTCGCGGATTTATTTAGTGCATTTTGATTCCTTTCTTCGACTCGCTTCACCTGATTCCGTTGCTGAAATGTTTTTCTTGTGGCGGAGAGTATTCTTGTATCATGCTTCCTCACTATGCCTACTGGAAATTTCACAGAGCGGTGAAAAAAGCTCCTGTTCTTAGTGGCGATAGATAAGCGACAATTGCGATGAGCCGGACCAAGTAGAAACTTACTGTGTTAACCTAATGTGAACGGCAAGTCATAAATCAATTTTTGTATGTTTGTTCATATTTTTATCCCATGTAATTCTTGATTAGATGAGGATGAGAAGTTGTACGGCGACCCATTCCAACAGCGTGACTTTCTAACCGATATTTCGCCTTGGTTGGGCAAGTTACCAGCGGGAACATTTCGTTTGATGGCGCAAGAGGCCGGGTTCTTCTCCGATCTGCAGCAGATAGAAGACTTGAATAAGATTGAGGAACGACATGGAACGCGCACTCACAACGAAAAGTTGGTCAACATTGTAAGCAGCGAGGAACAGGCTGGCTACATCAAGCTGGTGAAGCTCATTAAACGCTGGGGTAACTATCCCGACAAGGTCAACAAGATGAACCAGCTTCTGCCACGGCGGGTTCGTGTGTAAACGGTAGGTTGCATTCATTTCTTGCACTACCTGAATTCCGAATAAGTCATTGCATCGTACATCTGGTTTGTTTGGCTGCGATGCCGTGTTTCTCATCAGATATTGTCCCAGCTGTGATAGAAAGTATGCTGTTGAGGTATCCGTTATGCATGAATCAAATTGGAGAAAAGTCAAAGTTCCTGGCGACTGGAAATTTGGAGCGCAGGTACTACTATTATACAGTCGTCCCTCTCTAATCCGGCACCTTTTGCAACGGCATTTTCTGCTGGATAAACAAGGGTGCTGGATTATCAAATCCTGCCCTCCAACCCGGCCCACATGTTAACATACATGTTAATGTCGTACGTCAAAACGTAGGGATTTTCTGTGTCAATCCAAGTACTTTGTGGAATGCATGTCTTTAACATACATTTACCGGGAATATCCTATGCACTGGCATAGGATATTCCCAAGTGTATGCTACATGTGTTGTGTATGTTACAATGCTCCTTGACAGTATGCGATGTACAACTGCTGGATTAGAAAATCGAATTATGTACAGTTTGAGTGATTTGTTGCTGGAGGCGGAATTCAAGTGCCGGATTAAAGCGTAGAAAATGAGCTGAAAAAATCCGTTTGCCAGAAAGTGTGCTGGTTTGCAAGGGTGCTGGATAACCAAGTGCCGGATTAGAGAGGGACGACTGTACCATATTTTATGGAGTGCTAGCCGCATCTTAAAACGCCTGAATTTTTTAAATTTGTGTGCATGAGTGTGGATTCAGGGTGTGTGTGTGTGTGTGTGTGTGTGTGTGTGTGTGTGTGTGTGTTTGTGTGGTATGTGTACATGTGCATGTGCATGCGTCCAATCCATTCTAGCTCTGGTGTATACTATATGTGTTCGTCTCTGTATCTCTGTTTGCTCAATCACAGATTGAGGTGTCAAGCACTTCACGCAGCACGCACTGGTACTGTTCCCTCTCTCTGTCTCCTCTCTCTCTCTCTCTCTCTCTCTCTCTCTCTCTCTCTCTCTCTCTCTCTCTCTCTCTCTCTCTCTCTCTCTCTCTCTCTCTCTCTCTCTCTCTCTCTCTCTCTCTCTCTCTCTCCCTCCCTCCCTCCCTCCCTCTCTCTCTCTCTCTCTCTCTCTCTCTCTCTCTCTCTCTCTCTCTCTCTCTCTCTCTCTCTCTCTCTCTCTCTCTCTCTCTCTCCGTGGTGTGTTCTCTATCTTACTGACTGGCTATGTTATCCATCAAATCCATTCCTCCATTCTTCCTTGGTCAAATTTGCCAATTTTTAGCTACATTATGTTATTCTTGATCGCTACCCCACTAAATATACGTAAATGAAATAGTCTAGTATGTTAGACAGTAGAGACAGCTAATTGTAGAGGACCACACCAGGTTACTTTGCCCGTTGCAGAATTACTACTTATAGTCATGCAGATACATGAAATATTTCTTTTGAATTTTATGAATACATATATTGGAATATTTTCACTAGGCCGGAGTCCTCAACCTCATTTGGCCGAGGATGTTTGAATATTTTTAGAGATATATTTCAAGTTACTCTTTATTTCTACATTCCAGTCACTTATAGATATACAAACTCATTCCAGCAGCTGATGTAATACTCTAGGTTACTCTACCCTGTATGAGCCCATGATGAGAAGGGAACGAAAACGTTTGGTTCAGAAAATCTTCCATTTATTCTTCTAGACTGGTGTGGACAGCGTATAGATCATGCATAGTCGGATTCGGCAGCTGGTTTGTGTGTTTGCGTGTGCGCGTGCGCGCGTGCCTAGGAGACTGCATAGTCGGATTTGGCAGCTGGTTCGTGTGTTTGTGTGTGCATGTGCACGCTTGCCTTGGAGACTGCATAGTCGGATTCGGCAGCTGGTTCGTGTGTTTGCGTGTGCACGTGCCTAGGAGACTGCATAGTCGGATTCGGCAGCTGATTCGTGTGTTTGTGTGTGCACGTGCACGCTTGCCTAGGAGACTGCATAGTCGGATTCGGCAGCTGATTCGTGTGTTTGGGTGTGCACGTGCGCGCGTGCCTAGGAGACTCCATAGTCGGATTCGGCAGCTGGTTCGTGTGTTTGTGTGTGTACGTGCACGCATGCCTAGGAGACTGCATAGTCGGATTCGGCAGCTGGTTTGTGTTGTTGCTTGTGCACGTGCGCGCGTGCCTAGCAAACTGCATAGTTGGATTCGGCAGCTGGTTCGTGTGTTTGCGTGTGCACGTGCGCACGTGCCTAGGAGACTGCATAGTCAGATTCGGCAGGTGGTTCGTATGTTTGCGTGTGCACATGTGCTCGTGCCTAGGAGACTGAATAGTCGGATTCGGCAGCTGGTTCGTGTGTTTGCGTGTGCACGTGCGCGCGTGCCTAGGAGACTGCATAGTCGGATTCAGCAGCTGGTTTGTTTGTTTCCGTGTCCACGTGCGCGCGTGCCTAGGAGACTGAATAGTCGGATTCGGCAGCTGGTTCGTGTGTTTGCGTGTGCACGTGCACGCGTGCCTAGGAGACTGCATAGTCGGATTCAGCAGCTGGTTCGTGTGTTTGCGTGTGCGCGTGCCTAGGAGACTGCATAGTCGGATTCGGCAGCTGGTTCGTGTTGTTCCTTGTGCACGTGCGCGCGTGCTTAGGAAACTGCATAGTCGGATTCGGCAGCTGGTTCGTGTGTTTGCGTGTGCACGTGCGCGCGTGCCTAGGACACTGCAAAGTTGGATTCGGCAGCTGGTTCGTGTGTTTGCGTGTGCACCTGCGCACGTGCCTAGGAGACTGCATAGTCGCATTCGGCAGCTGGTTCGTGTGTTTGCGTGTGCACGTGCGCGCGAGCCTCGGAGACTGCATAGTCGGATTTGGCAGCTGGTTCGTGTGTTTGCGTGTTCACGTGCGCGCGTGCCTAGGAGACTGCATAGTCGGTTTTGGCAGCTGGTTCGTGTGATTGCGTGTGCGCGTGCCTAGGAGACTGCATAGTCGGATTCGGCAGCTGGTTCGTGTTGTTGCTTGTGCACGTGCGCGCGTGCCTAGGAAACTGCATAGCGGATTCGCCAGCTGGTTCGTGTGTTTGCGTGTGCACGTGCACGCGTGCCTAGGACACTGCATAGTCGCATTCGGCAGGTGGTTCGTGTGTTTGCGTGTGCACGCGCGCGCGTGCCTAGGAGACTGAATAGTCGGATTCGGCAGCTGGTTCGTGTGTTTGCGTGTGCACGTGCGCGCGTGCCTAGGAGATTGCATTGTCGGATTCGGCAGCTGGTTTGTATGTTTCCGTGTTCACGTGCGCGCATGCCTAGGAGACTGCATAGTCGGATTCGGCAGCTGGTTCGTGTTGTTGCTTGTGCACGTGCGCGCGTGCCAAGGAGACTGCATAGTCGGATTCGGCAGCTGATTCGTGTTGTTGCTTGTGCACGTGCGCGCGTGCCTAGGAGACTGCATAGTCGGATTCGGCAGCTGGTTCGTGTGTTTACGTGTGCACGTGCACGCTTGCCTACGAGACTGCATAGTCGGATTCGGCAGCTGGTTCGTGTGTTTGCGTGTGCACGTGCGCGCGTGCCTAGGAGATTGCATTGTCGGATTCGGCAGCTGGTTTGTATGTTTCCGTGTTCACGTGCGCGCATGCCTAGGAGACTGCATAGTCGGATTCGGCAGCTGGTTCGTGTTGTTGCTTGTGCACGTGCGCGCGTGCCAAGGAGACTGCATAGTCGGATTCGGCAGCTGGTTCGTGTGTTTGCGTGTGCACGTGCACGCTTGCCTACGAGACTGCATAGTCGGATTCGGCAGCTGGTTCGTCTGTTTGCGTGTGCACGTGCGCGCGTGCCTAGGAGACTGCATAGTCGGATTCGGCAGCTGATTCGTGTGTTTGCGTGTGCACGTGCCTAAGAGACTACCTAGTCGGATTCGGCAGCTGGTTCGTGTGTTTGCGTGTGCACAGGCGCGCGTGCCTAGGAGACTGCAAAGTCGGATTCGGCAGCTGGTTCGTGTGTTTGCGTGTGCACGTGCGCGCGTGCCTAGGAGACTGCATAGTCGGATTCGGCAGCCTGTTCGTGTGTTTGAGTGTGCACATGCGCGTGTGCCTAGGAGACTGCAAAGTCGGATTCGGCAGCTGGTTCGTGTTGTTGCTTGTGCACGTGCGCGCGTGCCTAGGAGACTGCATAGTCGGATTCGGCAACTGATTCGTGTGTTTGCGTGTGCACGTGCGCGCGTGCCTAGGGGACTGAATAGTCGGATTCGGCAGCTGGTTTGTGTGTTTGCGTGTGCACGTGCGCGCGTGCCTAGGAGACTGCATAGTCGGATTCAGCAGCTGGTTTGTGTGTTTCCGTGTTCACGTGCGCGCGTGCCTAGGAGACTGAATAGTCGGATTCGGCAGCTGGTTCGTGTGTTTGCGTGTGCACGTGTGCGCCTGCCTAGGAGACAGCATAGTCGGATTCGGCAGCTGGTTCGTATGTTTGCGTGTGCATGTGCGCGCGTGCCTAGGAGACTGCATAGTCGGATTCGGCAGCTGGTTTGTGTGTTTCCCTGTTCACGTGCGCGCGTGCCTAGGAGACTGAAAAGTCGGATTCGGCAGCTGGTTCGTGTGTTTGCGTGTGCGCGTGCTCGCGTGCCTAGGAGACTGCATAGTCGGATTCAGCAGCTGGTTCGTGTGTTTGCGTGTGCACGTGTGCGCGTGCCTAAGAGACTGCATAGTCGGATTCGGCAGGTGGTTCGTATGTTTGCGTGTGCACGTGCGCGCGTGCCTAGGAGACTGAATAGTCGGTTTCGGCAGCTGGTTCGTGTGTTTGCGGTTGCGCGTGCACGCGTGCCTAAAAGACTGCATAGTCGGATTCAGCTGCTGGTTCGTGTGTTTGTGTGAGCACGTGTGCGCGTGCCTAGGAGACTATATAGTCGGATTCGGCAGCTGGTTCGTGTGTTTGCGTGTGCACGTGCGCGCGTGCCTAGGAGACTGCATAGTCGGATTCGGCAGCTGGTTCGTGTGTTTGCGTGTGCGCGTGCTCGCGTGCCTAGGAGACTGCATAGTCGGATTCAGCAGCTGGTTCGTATGTTTGCGTGTGCATGTGCGCGCGTGCCTAGGAGACTGCATAGTCGGATTCAGCAGCTGGTTCGTGTGTTTCCGTGTGCACGTCTGCGCGTGCCTACTTTTAGGAGACTGCATAGTCGGATTCGGCAGCCGATTCGGGTGTTTGCGTGTGCACGTGCGCGTGTGCCTAGGAGACTTCGAAGTCGGATTCGGCAGCTGGTTCGTGTGTTTGCGTGTGCACGTGCGCGTGTCCCTAGGAGACTGCATAGTCGGATTCGGCAGCTGGTTAGTGTGTTTGCGTGTGCGCGTGCTTGCGTGCCTAGGAGACTGCATAGTCGGATTCAGCAGCTGGTTCGTGTGTTTGCGTGTGCACGTGTGCGCGTGCCTAGGAGACTGCATAGTCGGATTCGGCAGCTGGTTCGTATGTTTGCGTGTGCATGTGCGCGCGTGCCTAGGACACTGCAAAGTTGGATTCGGCAGCTGGTTCGTGTGTTTGCGTGTGCACCTGCGCACGTGCCTAGGAGACTGCATAGTCGCATTCGGCAGCTTGTTCGTGTGTTTGCGTGTGCACGTGCGCGCGAGCCTAGGAGACTGCATAGTCGGATTTGGCAGCTGGTTCGTGTGTTTGCGTGTTCACGTGCGCGCGTGCCTAGGAGACTGCATAGTCGGTTTTGGCAGCTGGTTCGTGTGATTGCGTGTGCGCGTGCCTAGGAGACTGCATAGTCGGATTCGGCAGCTGGTTCGTGTTGTTGCTTGTGCACGTGCGCGCGTGCCAAGGAGACTGCATAGTCGGATTCGCCAGCTGATTCGTGTTGTTGCTTGTGCACGTGCGCGCGTGCCTAGGAGACTGCATAGTCGGATTCGGCAGCTGGTTCGTGTGTTTACGTGTGCACGTGCACGCTTGCCTACGAGACTGCATAGTCGGATTCGGCAGCTGGTTCGTGTGTTTGCGTGTGCACGTGCGCGCGTGCCTAGGAGATTGCATTGTCGGATTCGGCAGCTGGTTTGTATGTTTCCGTGTTCACGTGCGCGCATGCCTAGGAGACTGCATAGTCGGATTCGGCAGCTGGTTCGTGTGTTTGCGTGTGCACGTGCGCGCGTGCCTAGGACACTGCATAGTTGGATTCGGCAGCTGGTTCGTGTGTTTGTGTGTGCACGTGCGCACTTGCCTAGGAGACTGCATAGTCGCACTCGGCAGGTGGTTCGTGTGTTTGCGTGTGCACGCGCACGCGTGCCTAGGAGACTGAATAGTCGGATTCGGCATCTGGTTCGTGTGTTTGCGTGTGCACGTGCGCGCGTGCCTAGGAGACTGCATAGTCGGATTCGGCAGCCTGTTCGTGTGTTTGCGTGTTCACGTTCGCGCGTGCCTAGGATACTGCATAGTCGGATTCGGCAGCTGGTTCGTGTGTTTGCGTGTGCACGTGCCTAGAACACTGTATAGTTGGATTCGGCAGCTGGTTCGTGTGTTTGCGTGTGCACGTGCGCGCGTGCCTAGGAGATTGCATTGTCGGATTCGGCAGCTGGTTTGTATGTTTCCGTGTTCACGTGCGCGCATGCCTAGGAGACTGCATAGTCGGATTCGGCAGCTGGTTCGTGTTGTTGCTTGTGCACGTGCGCGCGTGCCAAGGAGACTGCATAGTCGGATTCGGCAGCTGATTCGTGTTGTTGCTTGTGCACGTGCGCGCGTGCCT